GTCGGGCACGGCCTGAGAAACTTCGTGGTTTAATTTGGAACAAACTCAGTTTGAAAAGTAAAGGCGATTTTCTTTAAGTCGTCTGTGTGTGCGTTTTCCAGAGTGTAGTTACTAGCGTCTTCGTTCGTTCTTTCTCTTTTAATTTTCAGGTGTGGAAATGTTAACTTTGCTAGAAGAACCAGCTGTAACAGATGTGGGAGAGGTGAGTATCTGAGGTGATACATCTTCTTCTCCTCTTCCATTTCTGCCTTTTTAAAAGAAAAGAATATTAAATCTTCTTAATTAATCATAAAGAAAGATGTTTGAGAACTGTTTGTTTTTTGTTTGTTTTTTTTCTTTTCCAGAAAAAACGACAGAAGCCAAAATGATGAAAGCTGGAGGGACTGAAATAGGAAAGACACTTGCTGAAAAGAGTCGTGGCCTCTTCAGTGCTAACGACTGGCAGTGTAAAACGTATGCCTGTTTAAAAAACGCAGAGTGTTCTCTTAGAGCCACACAACACATCTACAATATGATACTTAATTTTGTCAGTATAAATTTACTTGTACTGATGAGAGAAGAGCAATCAAAGCTCGCAGCTATTCCGCTAGTAGTGTTTTGTTGTGAGGATAGCATTCATTTTTGTTTGCTGGACAGCAGTTGAGTACTTAATTAACGTGACTGGAAAAAGATTAAAAAAAACCAAGACTAGACAGGTGAAAGTTCATGATTTTCTCTGATAAGCCGAGACACTTCTCAAGCTCGGAAGAAACGCGTAAATGGAAGTAACACCTTCATTGCAATATGATGTTTTGTTGTTAACATTCGCTAAATATTTAATGAGTAAAGTTTAGCCCATGGTTAAATTCTTAGATGTTTCTCCAAGCCATCAATTGACAATATTAAGATCTAACTTAGAAGAGGACTACTTTAATAAAATGCTTTGGTTTTTGAAAGGTGCTTTCAGATTTTCTGGAGCACTTTTAAGGATTTCAGTTTTTGCTGATTGAGTAAGTAAGGTGTCTGACCAGTGAAACCTGGATTTTTTTTTTTTTTTTTTTTTCCCTGTCAAAACGTAGCTGTGTTCAGCCTGATGGATTTCCATTTGCGCTGCTCTGCAGCGGGAGACAGGCAGGTTTCCTGGGCAGTGCTGTGGCTCCCAGTGTCTGAGGGAATCTGCCTGATGGCACGCTGCAGGATTGTCCTCTTCCCAAGTTCTTAGCTAGGCTGTGTCTTACGGACCTCCTCCTCTCCTCTCTGGAACTGAGCAGCCTCCTGATGATAGTGCCACAGATGGATGAAGTACGAGTGGCTTTTTAGGATGCTGTAGTATAGAAATGCAGCAAAGGAAGCATGTAACTGTAGCTGTGCATCAGTGGATGGCGATGACTGCTCATAAGCATTATTCCCATGGTAGCTTCTTCGTTAACTCCTCTGAACTGTCAGTGCCACTAGTGGAGGAATTTTAACACTTTGTGTAGTCTTACTTCTGTTAACTTGCCTACCTGTGTGTTAACTTTACTTCTTTCCCCTTGATTTGTCCAGTGCGGTCATCTTCCCATCATCCTCGTGCTGGTGAAAGACCCACAGACTCTCTTGCAGTTCTTTGTGTCTGGTGATTGTGGGCCTTGGAGTTAATTGTGTTGTAGTAGTGACTGCACATCACTGCTAAAACTTCGCAAATACATTTTTATGATTTTTTTAAGTGTTGCCTTTTTGATTTGAAATAAAATGTTTCTTATTTGTTTTGTTCTTTTTGCCTCTGAAGATGTGGTAACGTGAACTGGGCCAGAAGATCAGAATGTAATATGTGTAATACTCCAAAGTATGCTAAATTGGAGGAGAGGACAGGTAAGATGTGTATGGTTTTAAAATACTCAGATTACTGAAAGAAAACTTCTTTTTATAAGTCACAATGTAATCTAATTAAAGGGATTGTTTTCACAGCAGAACTAGAAAAGTTGATTTTCCATACATAAATAAATCTGTAGGTTCTTAGACTCGATTACTTCTAGTAGTGTGTAAAGTACGTGATGGTTTCATTTGGAAAGTCAATGAATATTCAGCTTAAACTGCCTCTATATTTGATTTTGATACTAAGTCGTTTGGAAGGAGAGATGCAATATTTTATTAAACTCCAAAAGGTCTAGCGTATATATAGTGTCCATCTACAGAGGACTTGGCAGTCACAAGAACAGTGTTTGAAGGCTGTATAGATTAGACTGTTATCTCTTAATGAGGTCTGAGGTTTGGTCACACTGCGATGCATTTTAAGTTCCTCCTGCATTAACAATGAACCCAGTGGTAACTAGAACAGAGGATATTCTTACAGTGCGGTCGTAACTATTTATACTGTTACCACTGCAAATGGGATCAGGCAGAGAATTTAATGCATAGAGTATAACACTAATACATATTAAAAAAAAAAAAAGCATAGAGAAGAGCACAGAGCTTATTATTCAAAAAGAAAAAGAATATTTTTAATATTCTTACTTAATATTGTAAGAATATTAAAGAATAATATTTAATTGTATTTCATATAATATTTCATATAA